AATAGAATTATTGAATATATATATATATATATAAATATATATATTTTTTTCTTTTTTTGATTGATGTATGGATTTAATACATATAATATAAATATAATACATGAATATTTTTATGATTGATCCCACCTTCAAGTATACATAAAATACCTAGTCCCACTCATACATCTAATTAGGCAACAGCCGATATGCCCGTTTACATACACATCTCATACAGTATAAACAGTAGTACAAATGCAACAGCAGAGAGAGAGCACAATATATTGCCAAAATAGCAAAGTAATTGCGAATCGTAAAACTCGTAGAGGCATATATAAATGCTAGATAGAACAGCTACCCCAAATGGCAAACGATATGTGTGCGTGTACTTCAGAGGGTCGTTTATGCGCTTAGGTATTGAAAATGTTTTTAGGACCCATTTAATTCGCGCAGTAAACACTCTTTTCAGTACTTTATCAGGCAATTTATCTGCAGGTTAAGTATTTCCAACGCTGTTGAAATTTAAGTATAGCCAACTGGCATATAAAAAGCAGGCAAGGTGTAGTATTTGAAATTTAAACACATTTAAAGTAAATATCGATATATATCGATAACTATACACTGAATAGAACAGCAATTGATTGTACTCATAGGAAAAATATCTCAACAATTTATTTGTAAAATAAAGAATAAATATTCTAAAAATCGATCTTGCTTATTGTTATCGATATTTAAATAGTTATCAAATGACGGCAATAACCATTTGATATTAAACAAAAGTTTTTGCTAATATTATTATCATTAATATATTATGAAAGTCTGGAAGTTATCGGTATAATATATCGAACTATCGATGATTGAAAGCTTGCTATTCATATTTTAATCTATTGTCATACTATACGGTTATACTAATTATTATATAATCCAACTTTGAATATGATCGATAAGGCATAAACATTTAATATTATTAATATTTAAATATAATTATAAATTGATTAAATGCCATAAACAATATTTTTTTATTAATATTTTTACATATTTTGTATTTTCATTTAATTTATGTGAAACTTATTGATTGACCCGCGCATAGCGCTAGCTTTATTTATATTTATTTATAGCTTCATGCTCTCTCATTATATATACATACATGTGTGCGTGCGTGTGTGTGTGTATTGTTGCGTGTGGAAGCCGTGTGAACGCCTTGGCCTCTTGTCAGATGTTGACGCGTCGCACGGCTGATGATGCTGGCGATGATTAGCAACGAACCAGCTTGACACATTACGCATACGCACAGTGTGCCAAAGCCCATAGACTTATAGCTTTCCCCTTGTCTCTCTCTCTTTGCCTCTCTGTCGCCGGATAGCGATTGTTAATTGACGCAAGTGCACTTCCAGTAAGTTGCACGCAAGTGCAATTAAACAGCTTGGCACATAAAGACATTAATGTTGGACGCCAGACGTCTGCCAGCCAGGATCTGGGCCAACTTTCACTCTCCTGCTCCCTCTCATTCTCTCTCTCTCTCTCGGCAGGCATCTTTTGGCTGTCGTTTGTCTTCATTCATTTCGCTATAAGTCGTAAATTGTAAACGCTTTGTAGGTCATTGCTGCCAGCCAGCGAGCAAGTTTCAGTTGAACTTTTGCAGCCACCTCCACTCCTTCACCTGCAGCTCGTGCGCCCAGCGTTCGTCCGTCTATTGTAAGTAACAAAGCGAAAATTTATGCGCTTGACTGAACGGTCAGCAAAATGGCGCCAAAGTTCAAAGCTCGCATCAGCGGCTGCATCTGGCAGGAGTTTGGGCAGCAGCAGCAGGAGCAGCTACTCAATGGCTGGACAATGCTGCAGATACGTCTCGCATCGCAGCTCTTTGTTTATGGGGCACTTGGCTCATTCGGTTGAGGTTGAGGAGTTGCCGCCGTTTGCAATTTTATTGCAAATTGTTTTCAACCCAATGCTTGTTCTTTTTATCCTTTTTGTGGTCATGCAAAATGCAGAGCATGGCCTCAAACGTGGCGAGGAGCTTGCAGCCAACTGGCATTTGGCTATAAAACAAAATGTAGCTGCATTGGCAAACAGCCTGGCAGACAGCCTACACAATGGTCGGTTGGTCGGTTGGTTGGTTGCTTGGTTGGTTGGTGTGCAAGGTGCACGCGTAGCCCGTAACCCGTAAGTGGCAGCATTCCATACGTGACGTGACACGTGATGTTGCCTTGCAGCTCATATCAAAATTTGGTCGTGAGGGCGTGGCAAATGTCTGAAGTGGTTTGTTGGGTAACAAAACTACAGTGGATGGTGCATGCTGTTGTATCAGCTATTTGGGAAGAGCTCAAAATCTAGAAGAGAATCTTATCAAACTTTTCAATTTCTATATCCTTTAAAGCGAAAAGAATCTTCTTTAAATATTTTTTAACAAATAAATAAATAACTAAGAGTTTTATCAAAACTAAACAATTCCTTGTTATCAATTTTTAGCATCATTTTATATAAAACCTGTAGACAGCGATCGATATTGCTTAACACTTAGTGACATTTATTAAGTATATCAGTTTTATTATCGCAGACTATATAACTAGGAGAATGTTCCTTACCCAGTACAAGAGTTCATATGATATGATATGATATGATATGACTCATTCGATATGACAAAGACCCACAGATAGCAAATGTTGCTTAATTAATGAGAGCTTTAGATTATTAGTGAAGCGATGTAATACCAACATTAAGAGACCCTCCATGAAACCGTAAAAACAGTTAACTGAGCAAAGTTTTTAAATACTTGAGAAATAACTAAATTAAAGCAATCAGTAAGGAAGATTTCAAATTGAATTTGTAACTTGTACCACAAATTTTACACATCTCCAATCTTAAGATACATCTGCAAGATATAAAAGCGATGTCTTTTATGTAATAATATAATTTATGTAATAATATATATATATATATATATAATAATATAATACTATATGTGCAAGTCTTTGGGTTAAGCAGCATGAAGTTACGCAGCTTTTTCTGCTTAATATTGGAACAGACTACATAACAACTTTATCATTCATGACATTTATCAAAAGCCCGCATTCTGCCTTCGTTCCCGCAGTCTTGGCCTTAAAAGCAATTATAAACTATTTCTGAGCCTCTTCAGTAGCTTATTCAAAATTCCGAATGCTTTCATGTCTCGATTCATACGCACACACACGCACACATATGCATGGTACAAAGGTATTTATTGAAATGCAAGCCATGCATATGCCAAAAACAATGAGGAGATTTACACACATGCATATACATACACACACACACTCACATTTATATGCATAGCAGCAGAGACATGGCAATTTTGCTGGCAACTCGAGAGTTTTGTTCTGTTTGAAAGTATTGTTATATGCATATATACAGTATATTATATAAATATATGTCCAATGCAGCAAACATGTATTTACATGCATTCATACATGTGTACAATTAATTTGGCACACATTGCTGCATAATTAATTTTTTTGTGTTTATTTTGGTCGTCGTCGCCAATGCGGCAATTGAGTAAATCCGTGGCAATTGGCAATTATACAAAATTTCGCGCAGAGACAATTGCCAGTCCCACCACAGACAGACGCAAATAGATTGTAAGCACTGTGTGCGCTAGGTTAGGGTTGACACATTTGCTACGCTGTGCGAAAGTGCCAAAGTGCGAAGGAGAGCGCAGCTAAATCGGACTGTGATTGATGAGCCTGCTAGACTCCAATGATGTGCCCACTGACAGCCAACAAATGATTCATCTGTCACACTCACACACACGCACGCTTGCATGCCAAAGGTTATGTGAACTTTAAATGTGAAGAGCATTTACAGTTGAGTCGAGAGCTTTAAGCGGCATGCATGCTAATAAATAACTGTTCTGCTACTCACCGAACGCAACAAAAAAGAGAGTAAGAGAGAGCGTTTGATGCGCTCTTCTGTATCTGTATCTGTGTGTGTGTGTTCCTATGCGAAGCCTCGTAAAACTATTAAAGCACAGTCGGCGTCAACGTTGACTGCGCTAATGGCAAGGCGCCTTATGATATTTACCATAACCCCACACACGAACACATTTTCCATGAGACCTGCAGGTGTCACAACAACATCGTGCGCGCACACACGCATACATATGTATACACATTTGTATGTACGAGGAATCACCGTTGCGGACATTCCATAACAAATCCCGCGATACAAATCCGCATAACTTCAAACGTTGCCGCGGTCGACGTCGACGTCGTTTATTTGTATAAAATTAGTTTATGACGCGCTAAAACAAAAGGCGCACACACATACACACGCGCACACAGTAATAGACGTACACACGCTGCCTTTAAACAGACACTTTAAAAGCGCTTTGTGCGCAAAGTTTATTATTTTAATAATTCGTTATATTTTGGCGGCTCTTTGACGCACAGCAACAAAAACGGCCAAGCGGACTGCACTGTGGGAATCGAGCATGGCAACTATTTTGACCGCAAACTTACACGAAAACAAAAAATCAGCTTTCAAATGCATGCCATGCCAGCAATTTGTTTATAGTAATTGTTGCCGTTGCTGCTGTTCCAACATGTGTGTGCGTTATTAATTGCAATAAATGATGCCAGGCGTAGGCGTTGATTTTTGTTGTTTTTGTGGCTATGGCGTTTGTGCGTAACGTACCGTTCAAAAAATCACATAAGCGCCATCTAGCATGTTTTGATTGCAACTCGGATAATAATAGTTGAGCGCGCTTTTCTATCGATACTTAATTTTTTAAACTTAGTTGGTAATATAATTAAACACTTCAAAATTATGAAAAGTAAATAATTGTACTATTTTCTATAATTTTGCAATATATTTAGTTTAGTTTATTTAAATTTTTTTAAATATATTTTGTGGTTTATGCTTAGAGCCATTTAAAACGATACTACAGCGCCACCTGCCGTGTTCATAGAATAGCGCTCGTTGCTATCGATAATTATCTGATTTAAACTTGACAGATAATTAAATACAGGTCTAAATAAATATACGCTATAAATATAATAAACTTTATTTAATATACAATTGGGCATACTTCTTTTTGTTAACGCACTAATCCTTAAATGCTATTATATTAATTGAATATGTGGCAGGGCGCCACATCCTCAATTTCCTGGCCATCCAGCGTTTTTATCTGACATTCGCAGAGAAAATGCACAATTTTACGTTCCGCCTGCCTTCGCTGCTCCACATCCAGCCCATCCAGTAGCATTTGCACTTTGCTTAACAGGCTTTTTGATGTCTGGGCGGGAGTGTTGTTTACTGCCTGTTGCAAAGCTTGAAGGCAATCCTTTGACTGTTGCAACACGGTTTCCATATTTGAGATAACTGTGCCCATTAGCTTTTCAGCCGTGGGTAAGGCTGGATCCTCTTGCAGCAAGGCTGAGGAATCAGCTGATGGTGCGTCTGTCAGAGATGCCCCCAGTGTTGCCTCCTGCCCCGCCTCCTGGTCCTCTTCTAGCTGCTGCTGCTGCCGCTGCTCAGGCTCCAGAGATTCGGTTTGCTCCAACAGATCCTGCTCGTCAAGCACAAAATCCATATGTCCTTTGTGCTCAGCCTCGCTTAACACCTCGAAATCCTGTTGATGCTCATATTGCAGTTCCTCATCCTCCTCCAGTCCCTCGTCCTCCAGTTCCTCATCTTGGTCGTTATCTGTGCTATAAGGATAATCTGCGCCCCAAATGAGATTTGTGACTCTCTGCTCCGTTTGGCCCTGAGCAACTTTTGGCGGCCTGCCCCGTTTCTTGATGTTCTCGATGATCAGAGGCACTCCCTTGCGAAAGTGCCGACCCAGAAAGAGCAAATCATTGAAATATCTCCAGGTGATTGGCGCTGATTGATTGATCTGATGATTTCGATATTCACGTGCAAAGCGATCGCGCAGTTTTTTCCAGCGGTTATAACAGAGTTCCTCTAAAAAAGGAATACTTTTATATATAATGATATGATAGATCCACCAAATCGTCTTCAGCTTACCTGAAACACTCAGGCTCTCCGAGATCGCTCGCCAGGCTTCATTTTTGGCCGACAAATTCTTGGAGATTCTAATTTTATGCCTATCATAGAGCACGGGATGTAGTTTGACAAGCTCAATGAGGTGCTGGCATAGCTCAATATCCTCGGCATTCTCTACATAATCATCCGTCCGCTGCTTCTTCTCCTGATCCTCCAGACGCGTTCGTCGCGGCTTTCGATGTCGCGGCTCAAATTTCATCGCATCCAAATTCTCATGTTTAACCAAACCATGTTTGTAGTGATCCTTGAGAAAGAGCAGTCGTGGAAACATATCCCAATAGGTAGGACTATCGGGATTCTCCTGGAATCGACGAAACTCCTTGCCAAAGCGATCTCGAATGCTCTTCCAGCGGGTTATGCAGGCTCGTTCGCTGGCTCCCAATTTTATGGAAATGGTTTTCCAGGCAGCATCTTTGTTGGCAGCATTCTTGGCACTGCGTGCACTGTCTTTATCATAAAGTATTGGATACTTCTCTATTAATCGAATCAACTCAACGTCATCCATTTATTTGTTCTTAAACAAACACCAAAAAAAATAACAAAATGATTTTATTTATTTACTATTTACAACTCTGCTTGAACTAGGGCTGCCTGCTGCTATCGATATATGCGCGCTTATCGAATACATAAGTCCGATACTAGCATTACTAGCAGTTCGCCTTAGCTGGCCACACACAAGTGCCAAGTACCTGGCCACATGGATACGCGTATTGCACATTTCTGCTACTTTTATAATAAATGAATAATTGCAAATAGTGAAAATTAAAGCTGCAGCAGACAACAAACTGCAGAACATAAGAATAACAACACACCGTAACTGAAGTGTGAAGAGTGTAAAAGAAAATTGCTGAAGCAGCAAGCGTGATTGTGTGTGTGTGTTGGAATTTGCAAGTGTGTGCGCCCGGAGATCAGCCAAAAAAAGCCGACAGCAAACGCTGCGCCCATTTTTTGTTGTTGATTCATTAAATACGCTATACACTCACATATATACATATAAATACCAAGGCTTGTGTGTATGTATGTTGTTTTTTCTTCATATGTGTGCATGTACGAATGCCTGTGTGTTGGTGAGTTGGAGCAGCCAGTCCAGCAATCTCCCCCATAATAAGTAACAGTGTCTCTCACACCAACACCAACACACGCGTTCGCAGCAGCAACAGAAGCAGCGACTGCGACAACGGCAGCAGCAAAGAAACAGTTACCGCACGAAAGAGCGCCGCATTCGCAGCCGGAGCGGCAAAAGCAACGTCATAAATTTGTCATCGCTTTTTGGTTATTTGCTAATTAGGCACAGTTAAATTTAAAATTGAAAAGAAAACAAACACACAATAAATCAAGATGATATTGCTGGAAATCAATAATCGTATTATAGAGGAAACGCTCCTGGTCAAATACCGCAATGCACAGGCTGGGTGAGTCGTCTTCTTCTTCATTTGCGCTGTGTCTCATTCGCTCTAACTGTAAAAATGCCCCCATTTTCTATTTTATTTTTATCTATTTTCTTGCGTTGCGCCTGTGTTATCAATTTTCGTTCCGATTATCAGCATATTTTACACACACACTCATAGGAGAGCCTTAAAAATCGGGTGTAGTTCAAACTTGGCGTACACTCATGCACTCTAATCAGTGTGCGTGTGTTTGTATGCATGTGAGTGTGTGAGTAAGTGAGTATTTATGCTCCCCTCACCCGGGGCCAACCACATAGCATTTATTAATTTATTTTGGCTCGTTTATCGCATCATTATGCATAATCCCCAGCTTTTTTATATGTTATACACCTTACTCTCTCTCACACACACAAGCACAAATAACAAATGCACTTGAGTCATCCCCACAGTCTTCGAAAGGGTGCCGACTGTCAAAGCAATACAAAATAATCGGAGGTTTTTAATCTGTTATACTCAATGAAACCATATTTCGGACTTTTAGTCTGTTAAGTCCCTAATATTAATACAGATGACTTGTGTTCGTGTACATTTAATCCAATCTGTTATACGCTGTGGAGCCAAAGTGGCATATTCCGGGATTACCTCTCGATTTGTGTCTCAAATGCTCCCAAATAAACCCATAGACGAACGGCATCCTGTATAATTAATCATATTAATGCAGATGACTTGTGTTCGTGTACATTTAATCCAATCTGTTATACGCTGTGGAGCCAAAGTGGCATATTCTGGGATTACCTCTCGATTTGTGTCTCAAATGCTCCCAAATAAACCCATAGACGAACGGCATCCTGTATAATTAATCATATTAATGCAGATGACTTGTGTTCGTGTACATTTAATCCAATCTGTTATACGCTGTGGAGCCAAAGTGGCATATTCTGGGATTACCTCTCGATTTGTGTCTCAAATGCTCCCAAATAAAACTTAAAACGAACGGCATCCTGTATAATCCCTCATATTAATGCAGATGACTTGTGTTCGTGTACATTTAATCCAATCTGTTATACGCTGTGGAGCCAAAGTGGCATATTCAGGGATTACCTCTCAATTTGTGTCTCAAATGCTTCCAGAAAAACTCAAAGACGAACGGCATCCTGTATAATTAATCATATTAATGCAGATGACTTGTGTTCGTGTACATTTAATCCAATCTGTTATACGCTGTGGAGCCAAAGTGGCATATTCCGGGATTACCTCTCGATTTGTGTCTCAAATGCTCCCAGAAAAACCCAAAGACGAACGGCATCCTGTATAACTAATCATATTAATGCAGATGACTTGTGTTCGTGTACAATTGCTCCGATCTGTTATACTCGGTGGAGCCAAAGTGGCATATTCTGGGATTACCTCTCAATTTGTGTCTCAAATGCTCCCAGAAAAACCCAAAGACGAACGGCATCCTGTATAATCCCTCATATTAATGCAGATGACTTGTGTTCGTGTACATTTAATCCAATCTGTTATACGCTGTGGAGCCAAAGTGGCATATTCAGGGATTACCTCTCGATTTGTGTCTCAAATGCTCCCAAATAAACCCATAGACGAACGGCATCCTGTATAATTAATCATATTAATGCAGATGACTTGTGTTCGTGTACATTTAATCCAATCTGTTATACTCTGTGGAGCCAAAGTGGCATATTCTGAGATTACCTCTCGATTTGTGTCTCAAATGCTCCCAAATAAACCCATAGACGAACGGCATCCTGTATAATTAATCATATTAATGCAGATGACTTGTGTTCGTGTACATTTAATCCAATCTGTTATACGCTGTGGAGCCAAAGTGGCATATTCTGGGATTACCTCTCGATTTGTGTCTCAAATGCTCCCAAATAAAACTAAAGACGAACGGCATCCTGTTTAATCCCTCATATTAATGCAGATGACTTGTGTTCGTGTACATTTAATCCAATCTGTTATACGCTATGGAGCCAAAGTGGCATATTCTGGGATTACCTCTCAATTTGTGTCTCAAATGCTCCCAGAACAACCCAAAGACGGCATCCTGTTTAATCCCTCATATTAATGCAGATGACTTGTGTTCGTGTACATTTGATCTAATCTATTGTAATCTGTGGGGTCAAATGGCATATTCAAAGATTTCATATAAATTTCGGAAGCTCAAGTAACGTAGCATACTTTAGTTATTATATTGAATTTATGTGTGATATAGATCACATATAAATTTCAACACGCGAATTGCTTCGTCTTTGATTCCATGTATTGAAATACGTGATCCTCGTTTGCTGACATCAAATAGAATTTCTACTACAAAACCCGATTTATAGGCTTTTATTAATCATACAATATTTCTGTTTTGTATACTATCAGTTAGGCATGCGAACGATAAGATATTGAATGAAGGGAAAATATTTATTAATATTTTATTTCAATTTTGTTATATTTTCTTTGCAGACTCAAACCAGAATCGATAGATATACTAATTGCTGACTTTGATAGTGTTCTATATCATATTTCCAATGTGAATGGTGATAAAACAAAAGTGCGGGTGAGTCCTCAATTGAGTTACAATTGTTTTGACTTGTTGCTTTACTAATGATTAACGAAAACATATTTTACAAATTGAATAGATAAGCATTTCGCTCAAGTTCTACAAACAGCTGCAGGAGCATGGAGCCGATGAGTTGCTGAAGCGAGAATATGGAAGTTTGTTAACTGAAACGGAAAAGGGTACAAAAATATATACATAAAATCATATTATGGATCGAATTTAAGTCTCTTAAATTTGTTTGCAGGTTACAATGTTTCTGTACTTATTAATCTGGAGGATATACCCGCGGACTGGGAGCAGATTGCAAAGAGAATTGGACTGCTAAAACGCAATTGTTTTGCCTCCGTGTTCGAGAAATATTTTGATTTTCAGGAACAAGGCGAAGAGACTCAAAAGCGAGCAGTCATTAACTATCGCAACGATGAGACGCTGTAAGTTGTATATTAAATATAACCAAAGTATGTATTCTAGTTAATATAACCTTTGTCGATAGTTATGTGGAGGCAAAGCCTGATCGCGTCACCGTAGTGTTCAGCACCATTTTCAGGGACGAGGATGATGTCATCATTGGCAAGGTATTTATGCAGGAATTGAGGGAAGGACGACGTGCATCCCATACAGCGCCACAAGTGCTCTTCTCGCATCGCGAGCCGCCTTTGGAATTGGCTAATAGTGATGCTCGAGTGGGCGATAACATTGGATATGTTACATTCGGTACGTATCTCCTAAATTTGCTCAAGTATTGCTCTACACCCCATGGAGTCAAAGTGGCATATTTTGGAATGTGATTTACGACTTGTGTCTCAAATGCTCCAAAATTAATTTATAGACGAACGGCATCCTGTTTAATTAATCATATTAGAACAGATGACTTGTGTTCGTGTACAATTGCTCCGATCTGTTATACTCGGTGGAGCCAAAGTGGCATATTCTGAGATTACCTCTCGATTCGTGTCTCAAATGCTCCCAAATAAACCCAAAGACGAACGGCATCCTGTTTAATTAATCATATTAGAACAGATGACTTGTGTTCGTGTACAATTACTCCGATCTGTTATACTCGGTGGAGCCAAAGTGGCATATTTAGAGATTACCTCTCGATTTGTGTCTCAAATGCTCCCAAATAAACCCAGAGACGAACGGCATCCTGTTTAATTAATCATATTAGAACAGATGACTTGTGTTCGTGTACAATTGCTCCGATCTGTTATACTCGGTGGAGCCAAAGTGGCATATTCTGAGATTACCTCTCGATTTGTGTCTCAAATGCTCCCAAATAATCCCATAGACGAACGGCATCCTGTATAATTAATCATATTAATGCAGATGACTTGTGTTCGTGTACAGTCTTTTATTATATCTTCTTGTCCAATCGTTATGTTCCAAGATCTTATCCCAGTTTCTGATCAAATACGTGCATAGTTATGTTTTATACATTTGCTTTAGCCAGCTACTTATTAATCTGTTATATATCCTGATGCTGGATCTATTTTAATGAAACTTGAACCAATAAATTACATTTTATTTATTTTTTTCAGTGTTATTCCCACGACACACCAACAAGGAGACCCGGGATAATACTATCAATCTAATACACATGTTCCGAGACTATTTGCATTATCACATTAAGGTTGGTATCTCGTCAAAGATATCTATATTATATATATTATATGATTTGCACGTTATAACAGTGTTCAAAGGCGTACATTCATTCGCGCATGCGGGCAAAAACCTCAGACTTCCTCAAGGTGCTAAACCGTGCAAGGCCCGAATCGAAGACTACGGAAAAGAAGACTATAACGTAAGCTATATAACAGTTAGAATATAACGCTTTATTACAATATTAATAATACTCTTTATTTATAGGGGGAGAACATTCATACGCAAAGAATGATGCGCTCAGTATAATTAGTTGTTTTTATATATAAATATAAAAATAAAAAATGTGTATTAAAAACAAAAAGAATTGAGATAAACAGCAGAATTTTGGCAAATGAAAGCAAATGTTTCCAAAACTAAATGGTGAAAATAAATCCAAACAGTAAACAGAAAGTAAGAGAAAGTATTCCAAAAGAGCTAAATCTAAGCCGGAGCAAGTTAATGAACAATAAAACAAAATAATAATAGTTATGCGTTAAATAATTTAAATTGTGTGTATTTGTCGAGTCAGTAAGTGGAACAGAATCAAGCGTGAGTTAATTTGTTACAGTCAGCGTGCATACATATATTATGTATATCAAAAACTAAAGAATTGTCAAACAGAAACATTTTTATAACTAATTGCCTAATAAATCTAAGTGAAAAAGTCAAGTCGCAAACGCAAAAATCAATCTGTTAATCTGTCGCAACTGTCGTAATGCTGCCGAAATTCAGACAACCCCACTAGCCTGTATGTGTAGAGAATTAAAAAAAAAACAAGAAAGAACAAAAAATACTAAAAATAAAACTTTGATACATTAATAAATCCAATTTAAAAATAAAACGAATGGAAATATCTTATTTCAATTAAAAGCGATAAAAACTAAATGCAATAAAATGAACAAATCAAAATAGTGGACTAGTTTTATTTTAACTATAATGTTTATAGTATTAGTATATATATAGATAAGTATAATAGGTTATTGTAACAAATTAGATCTTAAATTTAACATTCTGCTTCTCGTTCATGCTCTCCACACTGGCCTGCAGGTTCAGATAGTCACTCTGAATACGCGCACAGACTGCAATAGAGAGTGAACAGTTCGAGAATGAATATATATATATATCAATATATATATATGTAATATTGATGTAGAGAGAGCTACTTACATTGGCAGTGGCTTTGTTATAATGATTATTATTGAATTGTAAATGTATTCCAATAGTGTTTAATTTTCATGTGCTTTTGGTGATGTTTTGCATATGAGAGAGATTTACAGAGAGAGAGAGTCCCTAGGGATCATCATATTGTTCCAATTTGATATAAGCAAGTGCTGTGTGATAGAAAAGTGACAGAAGTGAGTGTTATTTATATAGTAGTATATTCAAGAAGACGGTGAAAGCTCTATGAATAGATATTTAAATTGCTTACTTTAAAATAATAATAAAAGGGAAAAGACGTACATAAGTCAGGTTAAATAGGTTTTCTTTGATTACAATATATAATATATGTATTCAAATTATAGAAAATTACTTTTCTTTTTCTGTTAAAGTTGAACAGGGTGTTTTCTATATAATGTGACATTTTTTTAGTCATTTAAAAAAAAAAACAAATTTTTAATTTTACAGGAAATATTTTCCAATTTGTTTTTTATCTATTTTCTCCTAATTTCTATTATTTCAATTTTTTTTTATTATAATTATTTTCGTTTAATATATTTTTTGAACCTTTGCTATTCATTCGAGAGAGCTTTCACTGTATGTATAGCTGAAACTAGCGTGCACTAGGTTTGTTCAGACAGGCTGAAGCCATCGTTTATCATTTTGTACGACTATATACACATACACATGCGTAAGTCTACGAAACACAAAAAGAAAACTAAAAAAAACTAAACTTGGAAAAATATGGAAAAAGGGCTTGGCATTGGTATTTGGGTGACAGTGGAGTAGAAACTGGGGCAAATAATACACAAAAATTGTTGTTTAAGAGTATTTAGATGGTACTCCAAATATATAGATATATACATACTCTATTTGTCTTACCTTTCTGCAGATCCATATCATCCATTTCGGAGTTTTTAATCTGTTGCAATTTCTCGCGAAACTTTTTGGTTATTTGTTTGCGTTGATAATCGGCTTCGATTTCCTGTTTGGTGCGTGGTATGCGAAATCGAATGCAGCAACAGACCATGATCACTGCAAAGATACCCTGTACTGTAGCAGAGACTGGTGTTTATGGAACAGCGAAGAGAGTAACACTCACTAATACTCATTAAAATGCCTAGCACAGCGGCTATGATGTGCCATCTTCTAAAGCCGCCAATTGTGATTTTTTCCAACCACGCTTCCTTGGGATCTATATCGAAGATATCCGTATCATCGTCCATTTTCGATTTCTATTTAATTTTTTTATTATTTTGGAGTAGCCACAATTTCACGTCTGGCTGCCTGGCCTGGCCAATTCGAACTGTTCATTTCATTTAGCCACACTCAATATTTCTTGTCCCAAACTGGGTGCTAAGAGTATACAAACAAATGAGCGAGCCTTTGTGCTAGGACTAATCGCGACACACCCTGTATGGAGTCCTTAGGGCAGCAGTGGAAAAAAAACAAGCAAACAAATATGATGGCAGCAGACGTTGAAAGGTTCTTAAATATCCTAGAAATTCTAAACTAATAATTAAAGCATTTTTGTGTAAAAATTGCTTTATAAACAACAATTTTTAGAGACAAACCAATTTAAACTGGTGGTACTTGTGGATCACCCTGTATACAAAGGGTTATTTAATAATTTAATATATAAGGAAATCTAGAAAATGAAAGATTATCGAGATATATATTTACATTTTCTCTGTAATTTTTACAATTCAATTTATTTAATCCTCATTACTTTTTAAAAAAAGTGTGACCAGCTCAACTACATAACCACATAACTTCCACTTTTTAAAACCGAATATACCCCATTAAATGCATTACAAATCAAGCTGCATAGTACTGCTAGATATTTCTTAAACAATATTATCCATTGTGAACAGGACAACGGACGCCTTGCCACAACTGGGTGTGGTTGTTAAAACTAAAGCATACCGTTAGCCGCGTGCCCCCACAGCAGGACAAAGTAATTTTGCATACTAGCTTACAGATAGCATAGCGGACAGAGAGAGAGCGAGACAGAGAAAGAGATAGACAGAGCTTATAAGTAGCGACCGTAACCCCAACAGGAGACAACATGCATATGGTTAGTTACAAAAGGAAGCCACATGCTGGGCACACCCAGTATACCAGCAACTAGCTAAGAGCTACCAGCTAGGACTCGCCCCCAAACTAGTATGTAAGATATTTAATTTGTTGACTTTGTGCCAGCTATGAAAACGGCAATGGAGTATGAGGAAAGGGAGGAGGCGAACGGGCCTGACTGGGTGTCAGCCTAATGACTGTGGCATTTTCTTTCTCTCTCCCTCGCTCTCTATTAATCTAGCTCTCGTTGCGTGTTTGTCGCGGGCGTTAAACATTATGTGATTGCAATTACACATATTGAATTGATAGATGACCTTTATTAATTACGAAAATTAAAGCAGGTTAAGCTGGAAGTCGTTGAAAACTAAACATATGTGATTATTTTTGTATTTGTATATTTATTTATAATATTTTTATTTTCAAACATTAATTATTATGATAAAAAATAACTATTATTAAAATAAATCCAAGCATTTTTTTTATATAAAATCAATATAAAAATAGTTATTTTACTGATTCAAATTGTTGCTCATAATACAATTAATTTATATTATTTATTAAAATTTCGATTTATTTCACCAATTTTTCCGCATTTGCTCCACTGTGTCCTGCCCCAATGACCTAAAAAAGATTGCTGACTGTTAAAACTGTAAATAGATAAAGGTAAACGTAACACGCTTTAAACTTAATACGTTACGTTGGCTTACAGTAACGTAAACCAAAAGTGGCAACGCTGCAGCATTCACAATGAACACGCAGGCGGACTCGCCCAATTGTGCGCCTGTGCACAGAGTAGTGTTACCGTTAAGAACGAACGAGTTGCAATGCACGCACACAAATACACACACACATGTATATATAGACGATGGCACACACATGGTAGTTTTCATTGAGGCACTCATTCAACAAAAATATATGCTTATCCTTGCCACAGTGCTGCTCAGTTTCAGTTGAGGCTCTCGTTCGGTGGCACACACGCTGGGCTCGTCGCATGCCAATAAGAATTCAAATAAGAGTAACATACAAATCTCAAAATCACTAGTAAAAGAAGAAGCAAATTGCTGTATTTAATACGGAACAAAAAGTTTAAGCCCAAGAAAGAAAAAAACAGCATTAGCAGCAGCTGCAATTGCGGTAGTCGTTCATTGTACGTATTCGTAACGGGCGTGTGTGTGCCTGTGCGTGTGTGTGCGTGCGTGAGTGTGAGTAAGTGAGCATGTGTGTGTGTTGAGTACATAATAGGGCCATGGAGTTTTATTGAAAAACGAAACAAGGAAGAAAAAACGCTATTGCCTGGCAAAGAGCAATATATACGTATAATATATATGCATAGGCAATACCAGCAAATCTCAGAGGCCACACACACACACATACAGAGAGTGGAAAAAAGTTTTACCGTTGGCCATGTGGGCCATCCAGAGCGAAAAATCAAAGAAAACTGTTTTCAGCTAAATTGTGTAAATAAAGCATATGTGTAAATATAAAATTAAAAAAATTTAATATATATATATTTATATATATAAATATATATATATTGAGCCACCAACAACAACACCCGACCTCCACAATTTGGCTTAGGTGTGGGAGTGTGTGCAAAAAAAGAGCAGAAAAGAGGACGAAGCGGAGGCAACGCGCGCGCGCCTTCACTGTGTGAGTGTAAAATGCGTGGGTGTGTGTGAAAGGTGTAAAAAATGTACATTTTGTGAATTGGCCATATAAAAAAACGAAAAGGAAAAAAATAGAAGAGCAGAGAGAAGAGAAAACGAGTAACGAGTGTAACCGAATCACAACAACAACAGCTAACGTAACGAAAACGACGACAACCGTTATATTTAGCCGCCGCCGAATCCAGTTATACGACCTACTAACACCAACGCACATTACGCACAAATGTAGCCGAAGTTCTTTGCTGCTGGTTGTTGTTGCTGTTGCCCTGTTGTTATTGTTGCGAATGAAGCAATTTTGCAACTAAACAAAATGCACACAGATCTCGATATCGGTAACAATATAAATCACAGCAAGTGCGCATTGCCAATGCGCCGTCAGCAGCAACAGCACTTTTATCAGCACACAACTCGCCCACCCACGCAGTGAATTTAATTAAACTAACTAATATAACAAACACCAACCAAATAAACAACAGCAAAGTAAGCACCGCTTATTCTTTTCATTTTTATTTATAAAACCACAGCAATTTGCGAAAATAAATTTCGAATGCATTTTTTGTTTTGACCGCTCATCACTAGCGATTGCACAGCGCCGGTGTATCGATAATTGCGTGTTTTTTTATCGATCGAAACACAGGTCAACTATAGGCTTTCTACGCTTGGCTTCGCTTTTATCATATAACTATTGTGCTATCGTTTGATTTCAAATTATTGCTTTTAGATAATTGTCGATGAGCTCAAAAGAAACATATCGATAGTATCGCTGCACGTGCAAAACTATTGGCACGCGAAACTTGGCGCACACGCATAACTAAAAACAAGTAGTAGAAGAAGCAGCAGCAGAGAGAGCGCATCCAATAGGACTGTCAGACGGACGCGCACGTACGTACGGTTTGTGTTACAGCGGCACTTTGCCTGGTCGGCCGCCCTCCGCCTCCTCTCCATAAAAAAACAAAAGCAAACACGAATTAAATGTAATTAAGTGCATTTAAATTTGCTGCTTACGTGATTTGTGTGTGTGTGCGTGTCAATACAAATACTAAGCGTGTGGTAGGCTCACAGTTTCATTCATTTTATTGCGTTGGCCCCAAACAACACAAAGAAAGGACGATAAATGTTGGAAATTATACAGCTAGTTTCATATGTCTGACTTTATGTGCGCCCTTTTATTTCGTCAAGTTTAATTTAAGCAATTTCGCGTGTCTTTTCGCCCGTCTTTCACTCCAGCGTGCGCTTGTGTGTGTGAGAGAGTGCTGGTTCTGATTGGATCTGCTGTTGTTGCCGTCATCAGTTCTAGTTGGGGCCGCATTTGTTATGTCAATAATTAACAGTAAAACTTATGGTAAAGCAAAAAGGCAAAACAGGCAACAAAACACTGCGTAAGGCGTGCTACACAGCTGAAAAGCCGTTTTCTAGGGCTGAAATTGACTCGTGTCGTGTCTGTCCAGGGACACCTAAGAAGTTTTTCTTTTCATTTTACTTATTTTTCTTTACTCCTTTTTTGTCATGTGTGCCTCCAATGTGTGTGTGTGTATGTGTCTGTGTTGTTGCGCCTCATTCTTGCGGCAATTGCATTTGGCAATCACACGGAAAATTGATTTTTTGCCAAATGCGCGAACATTTGGCTACATATTTGTATATGCCTTGTGTTTCTTTATTCTTTTTTTGACCACTTTTCTGCCTGCCATTGCGAATTCCAATTGGATTGTATAGCAGCTGCCCAATTGGCACATTGTGCGTTGTTGCTGAGATGCCTTTAGCTTGTCTTACTTACTTGTCTCCTCTTTTTGTATTACATTAAATATTTAAAGCATATGCAAATTTGAACAGTAGCACCATAAAAAAGTACCTGCCGCGGCCTTAACGCGGTTGTTATTGTTGTAGCTGCTGCTGCTTCTCTCATCCATGACGTCGCTCTCTCTTACCTCCTCAATTCCTTTTTATTCCGTTTTTAGCTTTAGTGTCGTGTAAATCGTTTTGTGTGGCAAGTGCTCTGCCCTTTTTATATACATTTTTGTTGGTTGTGCTTTTTTAATACTTTTTTTGCATTATGGAGCACTTGCATACACCCACGCACTCACATGCACATATGTAGTGCAATCAGCGCTCGCTGCTCAATTCAAATGCATTTCGATTGCTTTTGCCTCTCTCTTTAAGCACGTCAATGCAAGTGTGTGCGTGTTTGTTCGCGAGTGTGTATGTGTGTATGTGAGTGCACTCAACTTGTGAACTGTGATACTTGAACACCATTTTTCGTTGATTCCTTGTGCCTACACACTTTTGCATGCAGCTGTTTGTGCTTGTGTCTGTGTGCTTCCCACCTTAAGCCGTGAACGCTGCTCCGATTTGTGCACCAGCTAACGTGCCCCTGCCTCACCTGTCGACTTCTTCGAGCTTTAGTTGCTGCGACACGTGCCCAATTGTGCCGCAACAAATTTACTCCACTTTTTGACTTTTAGCTCTGCTTTTTTTCTTGTACAATTGTCTATTGCGACCTGCATGTCTATGTGAGTGTGCTTGTGTTGCTTTGAACTCCTTTTGGCTTAGAGTGACCAGACTTTAAGTGGAGCCGAAGCATAAAAGTCATTTGGCTCTTGCATTGCGTGAGCAAATACCCGAGCAGCGAGTATTATAGTTTTCTTCACATTGATATATATTTATATATATAAGGTATATAAGGATATAAAATAGACGAAAGTTCTATTTTTAGCAGCATATTTTTGCTGAGCCGAAACATTAACATTAAATTGATATATACATATTTATCAACTATCATTTTTGCTGAGAATTTCTTCTTAGTTTGGATGAGCTATATATCCACCATAGCTTTTACTCGCAATACTCTTCACATTGTTTTTTAAAGCCTTTGATCAACTCTGAGCTTTGTCGATATACTGAAATAATATCGATATATATTCATTTGTGCAATACTAGTGATATCTATTTCTCTTTCCCCATCTGTTTTTATAGTCCAGTTCTAATTAGAACATTTGCATACAGCCTATAAACAGTTGTTTTACACGCTTTACTCTTTTTCTCACTCTCTGTGCCATTTGTTTTTCTCACTATCTTCATAGATTTAGCTAATGCGGTGTCTAGTTCCCATTATTGGCTCTTTGCTCAATCGATTGGCAAGGTCAACGCCAGCTGCTGCTGATAACCATAACCATAAACAGTAAATGTGGTTGAGAGCTGGTTGTTGTTGTTATTATTTACTTGACTCAATTAAAACTTGTTGATTGTGGGCAACTTTCATGTTGGGAGTGAGACAGACAAACAATAAATGTGATTTATTTGATATAGCTAAAGGTAAAACGATTATCGCCCATCAGAGAAGGGCCTTTTATGGGTTTAGTTTTGTGTCAAGCTGACTAAGACACAAATTAATAAAAATATTAGATTTAGTTCAACTTATGCTACAGTTCGAGCAGCAACAGAACAAGTCTGAAAAAAAATAAATATATTTTTATTATTTATTTAAAAAAATTAATGGTCTTTTTTTTCGTTTTTCTTCTCTTTGCAGAAGCCAAGTGGATAAATAAGTTCAAATAATAAATACAAGCAAAATAAATTAATTTGCCTACGAAAAAGTTTATAGAAAAAGTGCTCAAAGTGAAGAGAAAAAATTAATATTAAATAAAAAAGGAAACACCCGTTTGTCGAGGGTGTGTGCGTGTGTATGTGCCAGTGTGTGTAGGTGCTCAAGTGTGTGTGCGTGTGTGCGTGAGGAGCTGTCGTCGTTGTCGTCGTCTTCGCTCTCGTCCACGTCTTGACTGGAGCCCCGAACCAAAGAGTCGTCACAACGTCGTCGTCAGCAAAACCCACGACTTCAGCCGCTGCTGCCGCCGCCGCCGCCGCCGCGTCCAAGGTAAAAACCCAGCGTCAAACATCCACGCAAAGTCCACCACCAGGGGGAGCAGCAGCAGCAGCAGCGGGAGCAACAGCAGCAACAACAACACGCAGCGGCGTACGCAGCGGCCATCGGCGTCGCAGTAGCAGCAGTAATCCAAACGCCGGCAACACGAAAGCGACCAGCGGCAGCGGTGGAGCTGGCTGCGCCGGCGTCGCTGGTGGCGGTGGTGGTGGTGGTGGCGGTGGCGTTGGAGTTGCTGGAGGTGGCGGTGGCACAGCCAACATTAAGCAAAGCGTCAGTCGCAATAGCAACATACGCAGCAGCTCCTCCAACAGCACCATGGCATCGGCTAATCATCGAGGCGGACGTGGCGGCATCGCCGGCGCCGGCGCTGGCGTTGGCGATGGCAATGCGGCTGGCTTGCAGTTCGGTTCCGCCTGGTTTCAGCGCAAAATCAATCTAAGGCCGCAGCATCGCGGCGTCCATTTGGTCACCGAAGAGATACTTAGACAAATGCCGGAGCTGACACAATTCTCTGTGGGATTATGTCACATGCAAAGTAAGTAGAGATGATCCTTAAAAGAAAAGAGACCAACAATTATACAGAAATAGGAATTATTAACTTATAGAAGTGTCAAAGGTACATGATAAATCATATCTCTGCGAATATCAACGAAAAATGTATTATTGTGGCTGCAGCTCTTGATATTATATTGAAAAATATCGAAATAATGTATAAGTAATATGAAATAGGTACAAGATAAATAGGGAAACTACATTAATAGAGGTACACGATAAACAGTTGATAATAATAAATAGTTGTTAAAAGTACATAAATACAGTAATAGAAATACTAAAAGAGATTATGGTACACGTTGACGTGGTTTACTAGGTACATGACAAACAGAATAAAGTAGATCAGTCAAGAGGTCTTTATAGTAAATGATAAAAGGAATATATGAAGGCACATATTAAGGAAAACAATGTTAAAGGGTACACTCTATATCGTACATTTTAAAGAGTACAATGCAAAACATGTAAAGGTACTTCAAGCACATACCAAAATATATTAGCTGACTAGTACATGCTAAAGGGTACATACAAACAAAATAGATTTTTATTGTATATATAAAAAGTACTGGCTAGTAGGTACATTGTAAAAATGACTTGTTAAAAGGTACTTGATAAATAGAAAAATATATTTAATATGGAGTTGCAAGAAAGTACTTTCTAAACGGTACTTATTTAAAGAGTACTCGCTAAAGGGCATTTGCGGAATAGCACTTGGTAAAGTATATTTTAAATTATACGTGCTAAAAAGTACATGTTAAAAAGTAAATTCGATAAATTACACTCTGAAAGGCATTTTCTCAAAAAACCTGTTAAATGGTAGAAGCAAAAACTCTATGCTAAAAGGTACACGCTAAAAAGAATATGCTAAATAATACTTACAGCGTACTATATACAAATTAGAGCTTCTCGATGGCAAAATCGCAGTTGTATCTACTTTTCAACCAAACGATTTCATTCGACAGCCGAGACTAGAAATAGAATTTCAAGCCAAGCGGCTTTTGACTCCAAAGTTCAGCTGAACAAACAACAAAATGTAAAAGTTGCTAAGCACAAAGTACAGAAATATATATGAGAATGCAGCTAAAAGTTAAAAAGATACTTTTATACATACACGTACCGATAGATAGATTGTCAGCAGCAGGATAGTTCATTTGGCTAAAGGAAGTAAACTGGGTTAAGTGACAAAGTGTATAGATGCCTCTCCAGTCTGTGACCCCTTAGTCATCGGCTTTGTTGAGTGCCGAAAACTACGTTGACATCGATTTAATTTGGCACAAATTGTCGAGTCTATTGCTGCAATTCAATCGACACATACAAAGCAAATGAATTGTCCACATTCTCATTGACCACTTCAAAATCAAGTCCAATGACAATTTTATTTTCTGATGCTTGGGCTAAATATTTAGCAAAATTGTCAGTTGATGGAGACAGTTTGAAAGTAAGCTAAGGCAGCTATAATTAAATGTTAAAATTAATTGTTGTTGATTGTTTAATGTAACAGGAGCTTTTAAAATTTACAATTCACTTTGCAAGCTAGTTCACAATTGGCTTAAATTGTAACTAAAACTCAAATTCATATTCATGGTATCTAACATGAACTTGGGCTATTTACTAGGTAGTTTGCAAGTTACTTACTCTCAATCGAAGTTCAAGGCAGGCAGATATTCAATGGGACTACATTTCAATAGAACTTGGGATATAACTAGCTTAAAACCAGGATTTAAAACTGAACTGAAAGAGTTATTATTATTATTATTAAGAGTTCATGCATTTAGCATGAGCGAGAGATATTTACAAGGAAGTTTGCTGCAATATTTTTGATTCATTGCTCACTAGAAATCGAAGCTCAAACATGCCAGATATCATATGCCATATTAGCATACAGATCTTATATAGCACAGTATTCACCATATGCCAAGTGATGCCCATGTAGAAACTGCTAAAATACTGCTCTCTAGTTGGATTGCAATGGCAGCTTAGCTTAGCTTAGCTGCACTCTGCACTATTTTCTCATCCGAATTCTTGTGGCCCAACGACTTCTGACAGCATCCAATGCGACAATAGCAGCAGCAACAGCAACAACAATGAGAACAACAAATACGTGAGCCTCGAGCATTTGCGGTCTTGTTGACAGTTTGCATTACAATGGCAGGACGCGCGTTCGCAGTGCCAGAGCTGAGTTTCGCTTCAGACATGGGCAAATAAATAAAATCGTATCATAAAATGCCAGTTGGAGCAGTCAGCAGGAGGCGCAGAGCGAAGCGGTGCAGCTGCTGGGGGAATTGGGGCTTAGTTTTGGGCCGCTTAGAGATGGAGCCTCAAAGTGAAAAGCAATCGTAGTCGTAGTCGTCGTCGTCGTTGTCGTCGTCACATCGTCGTTTCTCATGTCTTCATGTCATGGCTCTGTGGCTATGGCGTGTGAATGCTCGAGGCAAACTTCTGCCCATCAGCCCCCCCCACCTTGCCCCATTCCCCACCAGGGACTGCCCATAATCCCACCTCTCGCGGCCTGCGCCTGCCCGCCTATAGTCCACACAAATCGTCTTACCCCAGTCGAGTCTCTATTATGGGCGTCTCTTTCTTTTAATGCTCTAGCGGCGGGTATTGCGCTGTTGTTCATCAATCTGTGTAGAAGAAATGTTTAACTACTATTGCTACTACTATTTTTACAACTATTGCAACAATTATAACTACTTATACTTCTGACAGTAACAATACTATTTATGATACTCATACTCCTGTTAGTGCTACTTCAATGACTACTTATGCTACAATTTTTATTACTAATACTTTTACTACTACTATCTACTATTACTATTATATACTACATATACTGCTATCTAGTACTACTAGTATATACTGTTACAATTATATACTACTATTAGTACTATATTTATATTACCAGTATCTACTACTATTACTATATAGTACTATAAATAACATTACTTTATACTACTTATACTATCGACTACTACTACTACTACAACTATGTACTATTACTATTATCTGCTACTACTATTATTTACTACTACTACTATCTACTACTACTATCTCCTACTACTACTACTACTATCAACTACTTCTACTACTAATATCTACTACTACTATCTACTACTACTACTATTACTACTACTACTATCAACTACTTCTACTACTAATATTTCCTATTACTACTACTAATATCTACTACTACTATCTACTACTACTACTAATATCTACTACTACTATCTACTACTACTACTAATATTTCCTACTACTACTACTACTATCTCCTACTTCTACTACTAATATCTACTACTACTACTATTACTACTACTACTACTACTACTACTACTATTACTACTAGTACTATCTACTACTACTACTACTACTACTACTACTATTACTACTAGTACTATCTACTACTACTACTACTACTACTATTCCTACTACTACTAACTACTACTACTGTCTACGACTACTACCACATACTATATAAACATTTTCTAAAAATAATTTATGTATTATATTGTTTGATCCAAAGTAATCATAATAGAATATATGATAATTTTAAGAGTATTTAAACTTCCACTTGCCCGAGGCGTTTTTCTTGTTATTCTTTCGCTCTCGACCAAATGAAAAGCACGTGTGTTTATTATGCCCCAGCTCCTCCTTCTCCCTCCCGGCTTAGCTCCTGCACGCTAAAATGAATCTCTGTGCTAGGTGTGTGTGGCTAAGTGTGTGTATTTCTCATTGTCTGGGGATCCGTTTTGGCTACGTGTGTATTGTGAACTGTAGTAAGCGGAATCTAATTGAGGTCAAGACATGTTTATTGATTTTCTTAAAAGGACTTCCTAATTAGACTCACTTTACTTAAATATGTGAGTGTACATGTGTCTGTGTGTGTATGTGTGCCAGGTCCCTCTCGAGCGGCAGCAATACCTGCACATGCACGTGCACCTGCTTCTCTCTTCCTTTTGTCACAGCTAGGCAACATTTTGCAGCGCCATCACAAATCAAATGGCAAGCTCTGCTCCTATCCACCTGCCTGCCTGCCCACCTGCGGCCCTTTTACAAAATGGCACAGAAAAAAGTTAATTTCAAAAAATTATTTCAAAGCAACCTTGCCATATGTTTTTCTTGTTGTCTTTTACTATTGACCTCAATACGCTGTCATTGTTTCAATAGGCACCAAAGGCAAAAGGAAGAAGCCAACCACTGTGCGAAAGAGATGGCAACAGATAGAGGCCAATTTTAATGGCAACTTATTAAATAGAAAAAACTCAATTCAAATAATTTACAACAACAATAAAAACGAACAGGAAAAAATAAATAAAAAGAATAAAAGGTTCTTTGCATCAAGTTTCACTATAAAAATGAAATGTTTTTCCCTTTGAAATTTATAATACAAACATTTATAATACGAAATGTTTCCGGTCGATTGCTATCTAGAGTATCCTTAGAAAAAGTGGTCAAATTCCATAAACTGAATCATATAGATATAAGATTACTAGCGAAGCCTTTGTCTGCAGAAAAGTTTATTTAGCCGGAATACCAAACAATTTTAAGCTAGAATGTATACAAATATTTATCAGGGTCTTAGATGACAATCTTTGCAGAGAATGAATCTATGAGTTCTAATATAATAATCTATAATGGCTTTATTATAATATATATAGCATCGACAAGCCTAGTGCGTGGTAATTTTGTTAGTTTTCTTTAGAGAAATAAAATATTAAATTTATAAAAGACGAGGAGAAGATCTAAGGAGTACTTCTCAATAAATATATGATGAACATATTATTTCATAATCTAAAATAGATTTGAATTGGGAATTATACAAAGACCCGTTGGAAAAACTTTTACAAATCTCTCCTAAATTTAAAAAATAAATAAGATTCTGAATATCTATATTTCTAATATATTTTCGAGTTTTATTGGGACGATTTATAAGGGTCCAATGTTGTGCATAAAAATAGTAGTAAAAAATAAAAATATGCCCACTTT